GGTAGTAAAAATAAAAAAAAAAAAAACCAAACAGATTTTTGTGTATGCATTCATAAGTGGGGTGTTGATTTTTAAAAAATCATGGTAAAATTGTATTGTATATAAAAATAATATATGGAATATCAATTACAAAAATTAAGCATTTGGGTTGCCACACCAATCAAGGCTTCATCCACAGTGGAGATAAAAATGTGTTACCAGAATTGGTGTAAAGCATGGTTCAAGCTAATCCTGAATACTCAGGGGTGGTGTGACTAAGGAAAAACCTTTGAAACAAATTTCTATAAAATTAAAATCTACTTTCTGCTGATTGCAAGAGATTGTTTTTGATGAACACCAGTGCAGTCCCCCTGTTTAAATTGTTTGCTTGAACCAATTCTAACCATGTTTAAGTCAGTTGTGTAAACACAATTTTTTATTTCCAGCACGGACAGGGTTTTCAAGACAAAGAGGAGAAACATGCTCCGGAGCAGACATAACAATCCCAATCCTGCAAAGATTCATGCACATGCTTAGTTTTAAGCACACAACTAGCCCCACTGAGCTAAATGAGTTTAGCACAAATTTAAATCTCTGCAGGATCAGGGCTTGTACATGCAATAAGCTAAACACAATGGTGGGAAAATTTAGTGTGAAGCAGAATATTTACTTTAAAAAAAAAACAAAAATGCAAGAGTAATTCTTAAGTCAAAGGCCTAACAATTTCATATAGTTTTTTTTAGGGACACTTACTTACTAGATCAGCAAAGACTTATAACTAATAGAGGATATAAACAATAGCAACTAATCTGTTGTGCCACATCCAATGGCCATTATACCGGCTCCTAAATAAAATACTCACTTTCTAGACCTCACAAAAGGTATCTTGTTCTAAGTAACCTCCCTTGCATGTGAGCAAGGGTGTGTGTGATGGAGTGATAGGCTAATTAACAGTCAATGTGCCAGCACACCAGATACCTGGCAGTAACAGAGCTATTCTCCAAAAACAACACCTACAGAAAAGTCACTGATTGCTACCAAAAATATTTGTCTGCATACCTAAATCCCATTAAAAATCCCTTTAGCTCAACATTCTTCTCTTTGGAAGGAAAAAAACCTGAGTGTTTAAGTGATAAACTAGCATGTTTCTGCCTCATACAGTGAAGAAAAAGCTTAAAACAGTAGAAAATAATTAAAACAAAAGCCTCATTGGGCTAAAGGCTTTAAAATTCTAGTCTGTAATGTGTTATACCTATTAATTTTTAAATGACAAATTCTAAGTTACACAATGTACCACCAGTGCAGAACTACTTTACAGACTCAAATAGTAAGACCTTTAACAACAAATTTGAATCCTTGGCTAGGCGCAATAGCATATTAAAATACTGGTATTCATTTTTATTATACATTAGAGAGAGTCTTTCAGCATCATGAACTCTATCGCTATAGCTGCTTTTCAGATTGTGTTCTTTTGTGCCAGCCAGGAAAACAGTGACAGAAGTGCTATCAGCACCAGCATAATGAGGTCCTGGTCCAATACTAGAGATCCAATTCACAGGGTTAATAGAAATAATAAATAATAAGGAAAAAATAGCTTTGAAAAGGCACAGGGAGGGAATATAACACAAGTGACAATATATTTCCTAGTCACAGGATACTTAAGGTATGCTAGTTATATTTTAGAAATTAATGGGTTCTGCTAATTGAATTTATTCATTTAAATTGAAACATTTTTAGTAGGTCACAAACAAACCTGACATCATACTGCAATTCTAGAGAAAATTATCTTTCCAGTAGTATCTGGGATAACCTTTTACTCCTAGTAAGGCTTTTCTATCACCAAAGTATCTAAGCACCAATGGTTAGGAGTACGTCTCTGATCATTCACGCAATCAAGATGTTCAAATTAAGGTATGATGATGCAGCTCAAAGCAGAGATGAAATTAAAATTGGAGATTTCAGACAGTGAAGACATGCCCTTTTAGGATTTACATTAAAATGAGGTCAAGGATACTGTTATCTGTTACTATGAAAGTTTTACACAGACAGGCAAAAGGAAGTGGAAAGTTATCTTGATTACTCTTTGCTTTGCTGTTCCTTAGTTCTAACATGATCAAAGTCTTGGTTCAGAGAGGAGTTGCGTTGCAAGTCAGTGTGAATAAGCCCACTGAATCATTTGAGCTAGCTCACTCTTTTAAAGCTACCCTCCGTAGAAAGGGATGGCAGGGCTATCATTAGGTAACATACATTTATATTTTCCCCTCATCAGTCATTGACCCCCTCAAAAGTATTTTTTTAATTAGGTAACCCCATTAATTTTAAGTCCTCAGTGCTGGGAAATGTGCAGTTTCTTTAGCTGCTGTGTGCTAAGGCCCTGATCCTGCAAGCTGGACTACTTCTCATAATAAAGTTAAGCAAATGCATAAATGATTGCAAGATCAGGGCCTAAAAGTTCTTCCCTCCAGTACATGAATTTGGCACTGATCCTGCAAACACATACATATTTATTTTAGGCATATAATCAATCCCACTGACTTCAGTGGGACTACTCCAATGTCTAAAGTTAAGCATGTACTTAAGTGTTTGCAGGACAGAAGCCTTAAAAAGTTCACAGCAGAACTGAAAGAACATGGAAAAGCTTAATTTGCATCTGGCAAACCAGATCTTGAGAAAACCAAGTCCAGCAAACCTCCCTTTAAATGATTCATTATTTTTGCTTTGCAAAGTTCACCATGTTTGCTGATTATTTTAAAATATACCCCAGGACAGCTTGGGACCTATTTAATATTTGCTACAATGAAAAGGAAATCCTTTGTTTTTCACTCTAATGCAACTCCGGATTGGCAACGTTAAACAGACTAAAGCACTAACACCTGTCATTTGTCCTACAGAACCCCGGTCCAGCCCCTCTTTGACACAAATAAGAACAAACGCATACTATGAAAAGTTATTCCCAGCCCCCCACATCCGTCTGGAGCGTCTCCTTGTGTTTTGGTTAGTTTGCACCGATCTCTCCCGTTGAAAAAAAGTTTCTCCCAGTGCTGTTTCCATGGGAGCTGCCAAGCTCCGGTCAATCCGAGGGAGATTTTAAACGGCTCGACTCACAGGAGAGTCAATCAGCATCCAGGGGAGATAACTTGGGCTTAGGAAGGGCTCAGGGTGGTGCAGGCTCAGGGGAGACTGGGGGCGGGGGGTTATTCGCCAGTGTCAAGCAGCTTTTCCTGAGGCCTGGCGGGGGCTAAGATCCCGCCCTCGAAGGACCCGTTGGGTTTTATTTCGAAACGAAGCATTTGGTCCCCTCACACCTGCGCAGGGGCCACGCCAGGGAGCGACCAGCTCCCGCCGAGCCACAGCGGCAATCTCCCGCCCCCGACCGGGAAAGCGCCGGTGCCCGGCATCGCGGTTTGGGCTCATGGGAGAGAAGAGGCCGGGCAAAGAGGACCCAGCCCGCCCTCCGCGGAGTAACCAGCTCCAGCCCTTCCTCCTGGACGCTACTGCCCAGCCCAGCCCGGGCTCCAACCCCCTCTCCGGGATACTACTGCCCAGCGCCCTGCCCCGGCTCCGCCCTCACACCGCCGGGCGCTCCTCGCCGCGGGCGGCCAGCGCGGACCCCGGCCTCGCAGCCCCCTTACCTAGCGACAGCTCCCCGCTCTCCTCCGGCCAGCACCGAGTCCCTCTGGCCCCTGCCCTTTTTTAGGCAGCGAGCGTGTGTTTTCCGTCAAGGCGACATCACTTCCCGTAAGCCCGAGCGAGGGGCGGTCACTGCCCCTCCCCTCCGTGCTGGGCCGCCCCGGCACCCCTGGCGGAGAGAGCCCTAGTCACGCCCGGGCGGTAAGTACTGAGCCCGGCCCGGTCCTGGGGCGGGGGTCTCCAGCCTGCGCGGCCACACGGGTCTCACTGCGCCGCAGCGCTACAGCGCCCGGGGCTGGCCGCACTGGGGAGCCGCTCTGCCCTGGGTCTCAGCTAAACTCACTGAGAGGCGAGCTAACCTCCCTCCCGCGGTGCCAGCTCCCGTCGTAACGCACATGTCTAGTGAAGTCAGGGGTGCTGGAACTAGGCATGCTGCCACAGCCCCTGGCAAGAAATGGTTTCATTATATATGGGTGACCAGCTGTCCTGATTTTATAGGGACAGTCCAGATGTTCGGGGCTTTATCTTATATAGGTGCCTATCTCCCCCATCCCAATTTTTTACACTTGCTCTCTAGTCACCCTTTATAGAGTATTTAGAGTTTAGGGATCTCAGCGCATGCGCACACACACCCTTATACAAATTGTTCCAGCACCCCTGAGTGAAGTTGGGGTGAGACAGGCCCCAGGTGCTGTCTAAACACACAGAAATAGTCTCTGCCTTATTACCCTCACCTTAAATACAAGACAAGCATAATAAGGAGGGGTAGAGGATAAGGGTAACTTGTAACACTCAAACCTGTCTTGGTTTTAATTAAGCTGGTGCTAACCTCTTTGAATATGCACACATATCAATGTAAATCTGGTTATAATGGTTTAGCTTGCCCCTCTACACCTAGGCCTCATGTACAAGGATAATTGCCCTTCCCAGGTCAGGAGTAGGGCTCCTAAGTGCTATATTAATAACAAATCAGCTTTTTAAATTATAGAGTTAGACTGGTGCAAACCCCTCTGTAGAGAGTCTTATTGCAGTGTAGTGACTTATCATAGGGCAAGCAAAGGCACTCTAAGTGTGTCCCCACCCAAAATTGCACCAGTTCAACATCACATCTTTACTTAATCTGTTGCCATCTTACATAGATATGTAACAGAGTGTTCCTAGGGTATGCCTCAATTGCATTGTAAACACAGGTTTGTGGGACCCAGTGTCTTGAAACTTACACCTGAGTAGTCACACTCCATTGTAAACCTAGGTTAACAATGGCTGGATCCTAGTCCCACAACCATGCTATTATGTCCATGCTATGCAGACTTTCTGACTTGGGTCTGTGGCTTGAGCTGCATCCACACAGCAAAAAATGACAGGACTTGAACCTGATAACATCTGGATTCTTACTCTCCCTCTCCCCCCCACCTCCCGGAGTAAGGGATTTGAGACAGGTTTACAATGGAACGTAGACATATCCATAGTCTGAGGCCTGGTCTCCACTACGGGTTTAGGTCGACTTTAGCAGCGTTAAATCGAATTAAGCCTGGACACGTTCACACAACGAAGACCTTTCTTTCGACTTAAAGGGCCCTTTAAACCGGTTTCTTTACACCACCTTCGACGAGGGGATTAGCGATAATATCGGCCTTTGCGGGTCAGAATTGGGGTAGTGTGGACGGAATTCGACGTTATTGGCCTCCGGGAGCTATCCCACAGTGCTTCATTGTGACCGCTCTGGACAGCACTCTCAACTCAGATGCACTGACCAGGTAGACAGGAAAAGACCCGCGAACGTTTGAATTTCATCTCCTGTTTGCCCAGCATGGAGAGCACAGGTAACCATGCAGAGCTCATCAGCACAGGTAACCGTGATGGAGTCCCAGGATCGCAAAAGAGCTCCAGCATGGACCGAACGGGAGGTACGGGATCTGCTCGCCATATGGGGAGATGAATCAGTGCTAGCTGAACTCCGTAGCAGTAAAAGAAATGGCAAAGTATTAGAAAAGGTCTCCAAGGCCATGAAGGACCGGGGCCATAACAGGGACACACAGCAGTGCCGCGTGAAAATTAAGGAGCTACGGCAAGCCTACCACAAAGCCAGAGAAGCAAACGGAAGGTCCGGGGCAGAGCCGCAAACTTGCCGCTTCTACGCGGAGCTGCATGCCATTCTAGGGGGTGCAGCCACCACTACCCCAACCGTGTGCT